ATCCACCCTGAGCTGCTTCAGCTGCCAGTGCATCTTTCTAAAATATACTTCTGGAGCACTTGCCTAGCATATAAAAGACTCTGAAGGGGCTGGGGAGATGACTCAGTAGAATAAGCGCTTGCCTGGCAAGTGCAAGGGCCTGGGTTCAATCCCCGGTTCTGAAAAAAAAAAAAAAAAAAAAGGCTCTGGATTCAACGTACAGTACTGAAAAAAAAAAACAGAAAGGATTAAGTGTCTCAGTCTCCCTGATTGCATTTGTCTCAAGCAATACAAAAGCTTTCCTCAAACTCTTCAAAAAACCAAGACTAAAGTGTTATGTTTTCCTCTGCTGGTGATTTTGCTCGGGCATTTACTCTGCCTGCTGTCTCAGTCATCCTGGCCCTTCCTGAGCATCTATCTCAAGTGTTCCTCCTCCACAGAGCCTTTCATGATGTGCCAGCTGGAGATTATCACTTTCTTCTTTGATTCATCCAGTATTTGTCTGTCCCTCTTTCATTACATCAATCTCATGCACCAGTGTATTATGCTGAATTACGTGCTTAGTGGTTTTCCTTTTATTTGTTTTGTCTTTACAGCCTTGTTTATACTCTAAGGACAAAGCTTTCAATCTTTGGCTTGCCTCTCTCATGGAGGGACCTCAAAATTTTTAAAATTAATTTATTCAATTGACTTGAATTCTGGGAATATCCAACAAATTGTACTGTATGTGTGAGTCTTACAATTTTATTCTTTTGGTGATAATTCTCATTCTAAGAAACTAGTGTGGTTTGTGGTTTAGAGTCATAGTTTAGGCTGCCCTTAGAAGAATGAAAAACAGCTGGTGTCCAAGGAGTTCTGGAAACTAGTCAATAAACTAATTGTAGAACAGAAGCCAAGAATGAAGATGTTATACTTGCATAAAAACCTGTTTATATTTTTATTTGTGTGAAAAGATACTGTTTTGTAGAGTGAAACATTTCAAACAATGTGCTTTTTCATTAAAATCATGGACAATACAAAGAAAATATTATGGAAGCATAAGTGATAGTTGGTGCTCTTATATTCAAATTGCTTTTATTTTATTTAGTCAGTTGTATCTAGCAAAGTATTTCAGAAAGATTAAATCAATTTGAGGACATATTTTAGAATTTTTGCAATTTTCTTTAATTTCAGGTGTGTGGGATAAACCTTAATGATGAAGAAACAACTAGACTACTTAGAATAGTATCAAATTGATGCCTTTTATAAGCATATAGCAATAAGGATTTCAGCTAAATCCAACAAATAAAGGTTGCTCAGGCCAGCAAGATAGCTCAGCAGACTAAAGTGTCTGCTTAGGCACGTTTAGGCAAGGACAGGGACAGCAGATAGATCTCCAGCACCACATGCAGCACCAGCCCTGCCCCCAGGGCAGACTGAGCCAGTGACTGACCAAGTCCAGACATGGTGGTGCACACCTGTAATCGCAGTGCTGGGGAGGCTGAAAGCAGGAGGACCACCATGAGTCTGAGCTGCATAGTGAAACCCTATACCAACCAAATACATTTTTTTTAAAAAGGTTGCTCATTGTCTATACTTAAGGAATTATACAAAAAAAGAGAAATACAAAGATTCATAGTCACAAAATTAGCACCTTGAAAAGTTAAGACTGAGAAGTTAGCAAGAAGTGCCCAAATAACTCTAAGTATGTTGGATTATAATGAAAGCAATATGATAGCAATTCAAAAGAAGGAGAAATCACAGGTGGGTATAAGAAATACCATTGAAGGCTCCAAGATTTTGATATCAAAGACAATAGATAAGAATATAAATTATTATATTAGATGCTTAAGGAAGAGAGCATGGAACAGAAAAAGGCTCAGAAGGTTGTAGATGCGAGGTTACAAATCAGGGTAGGATGATTAGAAAAAACCCCACACCAAAGCCCATCTTCTGTGAAGCTCCTGCTGAGGAGACCATGAAGGCAGCATTGGTGACTTAGGGCACAGGTGTTTGTGAGGTGGTCATGGTGCAGACTAGGAACTGGGCTGGCTTTCCAGTTTCTTTCAGTCCAAATCAGTGTTGGGCAAGTTAAAATAAAGCCAACAGTATCCAACAGAGGTCTGTAGTTTTCACTCAGTTTAGAGAATTAAAGCATGTATTGTGCCCTCTCTGACCCCTAAGCTGCCTATTATCTTATGCTTCCCACCAAGTTTCCTCATGGGAGATCCAGAAGAAGTACATTCATTGTTAAGTTTACTCAGAGTTGAGTCCTTCTAAGTGATGACTTCACTAAAGGGCACACATTATCCTAGGGCTCATCAATGTTCAATCACTCCTGACCACTTTCTTTCACTCCACCCACCTCTATCCTAGTAGTGATGGCTCCCCGTTCACCTGTGTGAGGCTAGTCTGTGAACACTGACGTTACATCCTTATTCAATATCCAGGCCTCATCATAACCCACTTTTCTTCATAGCCTTAATACCTTCTAACAGTGTAACAATTTATTTATCTGATTTATTGATGGATTCCTATCAAAGGTCAAAAATGTGTGTCTGTTTTATTCAATGATTACCCCTATGACTGGAATAGTGATAACATGTAATGAATGCTTAATAAATGTTAAATTCAAAAATACATGTGTGAGTGATCTACATTTTCAGTATTTATTTAAATATATCAGATGGTCCCTATATTGATTTATAGAACTTACTGTTTTAGCTACTGTTTCTCATTACTTTCACTGAATGAAGGAAGATTTATAAATAACTACTGTGTAATTAGCATTTTTCTGGTTTTTGGAAAACAAATCATATGTGATTGTTTTAATAGTTAAAAGGAAAATAATGAGAGAATAGCAGGGAGAAAATGAGTACTCCATGATTTTACGTGGCATTTGAAGGGAGGAAACAAAGATACCCTGACATCTTGAGAGACTTCTGTAAGTGTGGCATGCTCCCCAGTATGAACATGGGCTTTGGAATTCTGAACACCTAAATTCTCATCCCAGGAGCACCCTTCATCATCTGTGGCACTTTGTCTTAGTCATTAATGTCTCAGGATCAAGTGATTCCATTTGTAAAATAAAGATCACAATCTTAACCTCACTGAGAACATAAGCTACCTAACAAGATCATCTATGGAAGCAATCAGTCAAGGGCTTCGCACAGAGCAGCAATTTAAAAATGCACATGGAATGGATGGATTCTTGCCAAATGGGAAGAAACATAACCACACAAAGGGACATTTCAACCTATTTCTACTATACATTACCCATCTATGCCTTTGTTCATAGTGGTACCTTTGCCCTCAATATCTTTAAAAGAGTAAACTGTATTTCTTACTCATCGGTCTTTACAATTGCTGCTATACCCATTTTAGAGGGAGGGAAAAGAAAACTGAGCCTTACAGGTATTAAGTAACATGAGCAAGCCAGTGAGGTGAGCAGTGTGTAACCTAGATGAATTTACCTCCAAAGCTGGTTTAGGGCCCTTGGCCTTTAGTTTAGTCAGCACAGCAGTGTGACCCCTGTTAGAAATTCAGCCCTAAGCCTATAGTCTGAGTTTTATGCCTTTTGAGCCCCCACAGAGTCTCTAATGCATATTTCCTTCATAACCCACAGTAATTTTTTAAAAACACCTGTGCTCCTCTTCTCTTCACATACCTGCATCATCTGCTATACAGGCAGCTTCTGTACAGATACCTTTCCTATTTGGAGATCTGCAATGGGTGATCACTATACATCCTTCACAAAAACTAATTTTATTAAACATCGCTCTATCCAGACTCTGATGTAATTATTCTATTCTTCAGTTTGCATATTCCTTACAAAACTTATATGGCATAAACTACCTTTATCCTCCTTTTAGCAATGAGATACAGAGCTCACACAGTTTATAATCCAGAAGTAGAATTGAATGCCAGCATTTAAGTGCCAGAGCTTATAAGTTTAATCACGAGGCTCTACTGCCTATCAATCACCAGGACTGAATACATTTCCTCTTCCTTTAAAACATTCCAGAAAAAAAATGTATTTTCACTGTCTAAACTGGACTTCTATGACCTATGACATAATATGACAAGTCTATTTTTCCTGTGATATGGGCACCTATAATTAGTTAAACTTTAAAAATGTGTTTTTATAAATAGATGAATCTAGACTCTGACAGGAACCTCACATTTTAGTCTAGCACTGACACAACTGTTAGTGGTAGCACATGCCCCCAACCCAATGAGGAAACATAACTTGGGGGTCTCCACTGCCTCAACCCAGGCTGCACGCAAAATGCAGGGTTTTGAAACATACCCTTGAAAAACTCCAAACTTCAACCAAACTTTAACAAGATTCTTTTTAATACCAATTTGTTTTTTTCTTTTTTTTTTTTTTTTTTTTCTGAGTAAAACACAGAGGCTATTTTTAAGACAGCAAAAAATGTGCTCATGGCAAGTTGGAACAGCACACAAGTGCACTGGCTTCACCGTTATCTCCATGACAAAGCATTAAATCAGAAGGAAGAAATAGTCAGCCTGTTCTCTTAGAATGCAAATGGATTAGTGCTAGAGAGCACTTTGTCCAAGAAAGGGAAGAGACACCTACCCATGCATAAATCAGGCACATGAAACCTATAATTTCAAGAAATACTTTCAAGAAATGTTTTAGTTGATAAATGTGACTACTGGATACAGAAAGCACAGAAAAGATTCCATGTGACTTTTTTAAAGGGGTCTTTCCAAATGGGATCATTTAACATGCCCTGCTCTTCGCCTGTGTTCCTTAAGATGTGTTTCATCAGTATTTATGAGACTCACAGAAACCTATGGAGACACACACACATGCACACACACACACACACACACACACACATACACACACAGAGTCTATGATGGGACAGTATCTAACTTGATTAGGCAAATAAAAATTAAAAACCCATAACATTTAACATATAAACACTTCTGGTCTTTTTAGGTTCTTCCAACACACACTCAAAAGCTTTCTCACTCAGAACCAAAAGATAACAAAACCAATAGTATACTCTTACCATATACTCCATATTTGCTGCAGGTGGGAATACTTTGCCTCGAACTTGATTATGATAATCAAGAATAGCGATCATATCATTCTGCGAAATGTAGCGCTTCCGCCTGGTTTTGGGAATATCCGTTGAATCTACTGGTGCGTTTAAAGTTGCTTCAATATCAGCGAAATTATTGGTTGGCGGAGATGAGTCAGTGGAATTGAGTAAGACAACAGTACTTGCTTCACAGAGAAGGGAGAACAGAAGCGCACTGCTGGCGGCAGAGATAGCTGTCATTTTGAGGAGTGGAGAAGAAGCCACCGAGTTTACCTTACTTTAAAGTAGAAAGGTAGAGTTAGGAGCTTTAAAAAAACAAAAAAATAAGGTTATGGGATCTGAACTTACAGAATCAGTAAGGAGAATTACTTGATTCAACATTCTGCAAAAATCTAAACAGATGTTTTACAATTTAGAGTAGAATCTCTATCAATTTTCCTGATTTATGTGGCAGACCCTATAAGGAGCTTTCTAAAGCTAGAGAAAACCAAACAGCATGATCACTAACCTAATATAAATGTGAGCCTTTGCCCTAAATATCTAAACTATAAAGTGCATTTCTATAAATTTATTTTCTGTGGGAAATATTTAAGAATTGAAGTTCACCTTGAGAATGAAGAAGAAAAAAATCCCCTGTAGGCCACAACAAAGAATGTTCTGATAATATATCCCAGGCATATATGTACACAATTTGATAGAACACATACACAAAGAGTATAGTAATCCAATCTCAATTCTTTCAAAATGTCAGCTACTTTAAATCAATACATGCAATATAAACTGGTTGAGCCAAATAGCTTACCTCTGCACAATGCCAAAATGAATACACTGTTCTTCCAAAAATTTAAAGTTCTTTGCTATGTTGTAGCATGAACTCTTGTAAGAGGCGTGTGTATTATTACAAGCTCCAGAGAGCAGAAGTCTGCAAGGTTTGAATGCTGCTGGTTACAGGAGCAGCTAACAGCTTTTATATGTCACTGTATGCAGCGTCCAGAAAGGGCTGTCTTTCTTAGGGTCTCTTAGCCAAAAACAAAGGGGAGGGTTTTAGATAGAAAAAAACAGTGATTGGGTGGCAACCTTTTTATGTGGGTGGTGAGGAAATTGAGTCACACCCACAGCTAACAAAGTACAAACCATAAAAGACAAATTCTTTTTCTTTTCTTCCTGAGTTTCCACCTTGTCTCTGAGTGGTTAATTTTTCTCATTTAATGTTTTCTAGTCTGGTTCCCATACAAAAAAGAAAAAAAAAAGACGAGGGGAAAAAGACCGTGGGTTCTTGAAAGCACAGATGGCTGAGTAATAAGCACTACATTTTTTAAGGATGGTAAATGACATGGGAGCTGAAAAGAGCAAGCTGATATTAAATCAAGAGATCTGCTCACAGAGTTAATCTGGGTGGCCACAAGTATGATTCAGGAGGAATGCCAGGCAAAGCAGTATAGCCAGACTATAGCATATGATATTAGGCAAAATAACTGTTCAAATGGTTGAGCTCTGTCTCTGTGGGACTTTCTCCTAATTTATGCATTTATTCTTTCTTATTTCATCTTCCCTTGCTTTTTTTTTTTCCTTCTATACGAGAGTGAGACCAGAGAACTTCTTGTTTCTTACCTGCCCCTTGTAAACGTGAAAACATAAGTTCACAATGAGTGACAGCAGCCAAGATAACATCTGTTTCAGGTTTAGGAACATATAGTTGAAATTTTAAAGCAGAAAATAGTTAAGCTTTCCAGACAGAGTATTGGAGGGCACAACACAGAGACCATGAAGAATTTCACAGCACTGGTAGCAGCTGCCAAGTATCAGAAAGGCCTTGCTAGGAGAATGCTACTGGGGCAAAACTCCTGGTGCACAGAGCAAGCACTGAGAATGTAAATACTAGTGTAACCTAAGGGAAAGGACCCTCAAGCTGTTGTGTGTCACACCATTACCAAAGTGTGGTCCACTTATAGTCAGGTGCAATAGACACTGGGGAAGATGCATATTCAGTATAGAAACTTAGCAAGGACTGAGTTGTTCTGCTTAGCAACGGGATTATCTTCTGCACATGTCAGCAGAAGTACCGTGTGAATTTATAGTCATCAGGAATGATGATCACATGGCACACTGGACTGACAACCAGTGTTCTAACATTCAGTCTCAGTCAAATCACAGCACTACGTGTTGCCTAACATATACTTTAAAACTCCTCATTGGTGCATTTAAAAATAGAAGGGAAAGGTGTGTGTTCTATGGGGAGTCAGACTTTGTCAGATTCCTTCAGAAGGCTGTATGGAGTTTGAAACCAAAATTGCTCTGATGTTCAAAACACATTGATGAGCCACATACTTGGGTAGCGATACTAGGTTTCTGCTACATCTGGATGAGCACTAAGCTTCCTACTAAAATGAAGTCATTTTAGGAGAGCCCAAGTTCTAACAGTGAAAGTTTTAAACAAGGAAATAGTTAACACAGTGAAGTTGACAAGGCAAGAGGGTGACAAGCAGGAATAAAAGGCAGCACTAGAGCAATGGAAGGGAATGCATGTGGTTGCTCACAGCTGCAGTTTGAACTGGAGCTGTCCAACTAGGGTCTCAGCCTTTTTAAAACTCCACATGGTTGGTGAATGACTGTGAAGTAGGCAATATGTGAAGATGGATGAGATGCTCTTTGTTATGTGGTGCCTGGACTTTTCGATAAACTCATATTGGCCTAAGTGAGTCTATACATTCTACACATCTGGAACAGCTTCCCAGCAGCAGAGGACTAAATGATTTTCAATGGCTGAACAGTAGGAATGAGCTTTTTTCCATAAAGGTTGCTAAGTTCTTTTTTAGATCTTCATAAAAATCAACATTGCATTCAAGATTGCTCCCTTTTCACGACTACAAAAAGATATATTGTCTACCTCTTGGAGTTTTAGTTGGGGGATTTCCATTGGGATGAAAATATGATACTTGCGAAACATGTGCAAACCATAAATGGATTTCCTCTAAGGGGGAATGGAGGAAGAGAAAGAAAAAGAAGGAGTTCTAAAAGGAGGACTTATATAGGAAATCACCTCTTCAAGCCCAATTGCATAAAAGCAGATCTGAAAATTGCTTAATCCTAAAACCCTAAGGCTGGTCAATGATTTCAGTTGTCTTTCGACACACATGGATTATATTGTGGAATTTCAGTCTATTAAGGAAAGCCACAGGGCGATGGAACAGTAGGGAGAAAGAGCTGTGGGAGGAGAGTTGGGAATCATGCTTCCAAGCAGACACTATTACCAGAAAAGTATGTGAAATGCTTTGGAAATAATTTTAATTTTAAAATACTTGAAAAATTAGGAGGCACGCAGCCAAGTTGTCAATAAGAAAACTATTAATGATCAACAATGCAGTGGTTCTTTATGGAAGCTCTTCTTGAAAAAGACCATTGACATGTTCTGAAACTTTTAGGACTGCTTGCCAGCCGAGGCAGAAGTGGAATGCAGTTATATTACTAAAAAGAAATATGTATATAGTTGGCAACATCATAAAATGTAGAAGAAAATGGATGGGACTTCAAAGGTGAAATCAGAAACACCGCTGCTATCTCAGAGTGGCATATCAGGAAAGATACTTTGGGGTGCGTATGTCTGTGTGTTTGCACTTGTGTGTATATGTATTCAAGTCACTTTATTACTACATTCTTTCTAAACAAAACACATATTATAAAATAGCAGTATTAACATATCCTATCAGGAATATAAAATTTCAGATACCACTAAAGACCCACCGAATCAGAATCTTCATTGCATCAGAATCCTCAAATAATTCTTATGCACCTTAAATTTGAGATGTAATGTCTGACTTAATTTTCAGAAACACAGTGACACAACCTACTGCTGTTGGATAAACTAAGGTAAAAATCCTTTACCTGACAACACAGGAAGAACTAAAGACAGTATAGGCATATGCAAATATTTTTGAAGTGGCATGCATAATTTAGGTTCTATTGTACAAAGGAAAAAAGCTACTCAAAATGATGCATACCTGTAATATTTTCAAAGAAACTATATAACTGTGGTGAGTACATTACTGTACAAACTCTATATTCTATTTAATATCCATTAATTTTCACAAGGATATTGAAACTATGGAATGTGAGTTTATGTGAAAATGTTTGTAAACTGTAACATGACACCTGAATAGAAGACATTATTTCATTCTGTCATGTCTAGAAGCTCAAATCATTCTTTGTTCCTCACCCATTCTCACTTTGTTGCATGGAAAATGTGATTTTTTTCTATCTGAAATGTATTTTCAATCTACACTCCTTTTTCTCACATTGTTGACTGCTTAAAGTTAATCCCCCCCCCACACAAAAAGTTAACCCAGTGTCTTCTCAGGTTAGCACAGTCACTTTTTAGCTGATACTTTTCACTTTTGTGTCTTTTGTCCCATCTACTAACCTTTCTGTTAATTGCCTTCTGCAGTGGTTGACCTTGGGAATCAAGTTGACTGAACCAAGGACACTAGATGCCTAGTAAAGCATTTATTTATTTATTTACCTTCCATCATTGCATTAATTATTCTCAGTGCTTTAGTAAGAACGAAGACAGTTAGTCTACTGATAGGGAGGACTGGGTGGTCTAGGGTCTAGTCAGAATGATTAGGCTACCAGGATGTGTCTATGAGATTGTTTTCAGAAGAGATTGGTATGTGAGTTGGTGGCTGAGTGGGGACATTCTGTCTTCAATATAGGTAGGCACTACACAATTGGCTGGGGGCAGACAGAACAAAAAGACAAAGGAAGGATGAATCCTTGCTCTGTCTTCTAGACTGTAGGGATTCTTCTGACCTTGGGCACCAGAATGGCAAGTTATCTAGCCTTGGGACTCTGACAGTCCCACTAGCAGCACCATCCCAACTCCATGCTTTTAGGCCTTCAGCTTTGAATGGAGAAGCACACCATGGACTCTTTGTTCTCAGATCCTCAGACTTATACAGAAATTACAAACTTATGTAGAATCATATTCTCAACTTGACCATGGTTATCCAGCCTACCAAGGCCATCTCAGCTTTCATAATCAAGTAAGCCAACTCCTCTAATAAATTCCTTCTAATGTTTATCTGTCTATATCTTATGGGTTCAGTTTCTTGGAGGACACTGACTAGCTTCCTTACCCACTCTATTTCCTGTTGACTTCTTTCTAAGCTATGTGTGTTTGTTCACTGGACAAATGACAACCTTCTTGTTTCTATTGATATAATTAGTACAATTACATGTGTCACTTACGAAAAGTTTAGTGAACAGATGTTGCTGTGTTAGTGGTGTATTAAATTCCCTTTAGCAAATTACGTTTTTATTTAATCGGAAGTCTCTCAGCATCTAGAGTTATGGAGATCTATAGATCTATCAGGTTTCCTTTTTTATCACTTTAGTTATTCATAATCACTCTTCAACTAGAGGTGGAGAAGGTAATTTGATGCAAAGTAGAGATTTTGTAAATCAAAAGAATGGGATATGTGAGTTTATTTTCAAATTGTTCAGATGAAATGTGTAAAGAGATAAAGCAAATGATAAAGCAAACAGGTGATGTTAGATGTATCTGAGTTAATGGTATGGGGAAATAATTTGAATTATTCTTGCAACTTTATAATCAGGAGATTATTTACATGTAAAGGTGAGATTAATTAAATTATTTTATTTCCTTATAACAGAACAATGAATGTTTTAGACATTAAAATGTTCTAATGTCTAATGAATTAGGTATTTCCATTTGTAAGACTATTGAAATTATTAGACTCAAAAATATGTAAAAATAAACTTAGAAATAGTTTCAAATTTTTAGCTTCTAATTAATATTATATGCCATACATTACATTCAATTATAGTATGTAATATGGCATGTTATATCAATATTTAAAATATT